ATATGTTTGAAAATAAACAAAGACGGAAGATAACTTTTGACCGCATACCTCCAATGTTTGTTGAAGCAATCGAGCAGCCCGCAACAGAAACAAAAGTCATCATTTTCATCAATAATTATTTATATAGTACATATGATAATAATCTGACACGACAGCATATATGATTGACATCTCAATATTATTTATTTTATGTGAATTTTTCTATGTAATTTTCTTTTATTTTGTTTTTATGTGAATTTTTTTTGCATACCCGTTCAAATTATTTTTAAAAAAATTATATTTCTTTAAAAAAAATTACATAAAGCTTAAAAACTCATAATACATAGTACACATAAAATTTTGAAAATAAAATTAAATAATTTGAAGAGAAATTTTAAAATTTTAAGAAATATAATTAATTTTAAAATGTTTTAAGGTTAAAATTAACATTTTAGAATATAATTTAAGAAATTAAAATTTTGTAATGTTAGTGTGATATAATTTAAGAAGTTGTAAATTTAGAATATTAGAGTGAATTAATATGAGAATTGAGAATTAAAAATGTAATATAAAATAAAAATAAAAAGGATAATCGAAAATCTATTTGCCCGAAGGGTCAGAAATTGTGGCCCGTGACACGATCTGTGATCCATGAAAATAGGGGTTGAATACTAGATACGATAATTTAATTTTTATAAAAACTATCAAATTATTTTTATTTGGGTTAATGAATTGATGAGTGATTTATTTTTTATTATTTTGTTGATAATTATTCTTTTTTTGATTATTTGATATTACTGATTTAGGTTGTTTTGATTTATTTTTGTGCAATACTTTAATTTCTAAAAACAACTTTAAAAGGGACAAGTTCTGTAGTTTTATTTTTATTTTCTAGAATCATGGATGGAATAATGGGCATCATGTGGAGCATGACACTTCGTCGACGTGGAAGAGTCGGATTGTCTAGTCAGCAGGGCCTTCTAGAAGTCAATCTAGTCAGCAATTTATGGAAGATTTTCGCACGATTATCTTGAATTTTTTTTGAAATTCAAAATACTTTGGGGATTATTTTATTTTGAATATTATTATCTTTAGAATTTATTTGTTTCATCTTTAGGGTTTTAGAAGACTATAAATATCCTTTAGGGTATTGTTCAAGATGTACTAGCTCATAGTTTTTCTTAAGTTTTATCAGGTTTTATATTTTTCTTTCAACTTTTATTTTAAGTTTTTACTTTGTTTTCTAAAATGCTAAGTGTGATTTCAATCGTGCTTAGCGATGACTCAATTCATTTGGTGAGAGTTGAAAAACACTTAATATCTTCATATATTTTTCTTAATTTTCTATAAATTTGGATTGGTCGGTCTTTCCTTTAAAAATCTCAACACTTTCATTTAAAAAAGAGCTCGTTGGTTTGAATGTTGTTCTAATTTATAATTGAGAGAAAGAGACGGCTGGTAATAAATTCGACTTCTTATGAACACACTTAGTGGTGGTCCGCTAAGGGAAATTAAGACCCATATTTTATTTTATCTTCTTACCAAAAGCATAATAAAAAAACACTTGTCATGAATCAATAAATTTATTTTTGTTATTTTTCTCAACTTTTTTCAAAAATTTATTTACAATTTATTTCTCATATTTAAAACCCATATTTTCAAAAATTTATTTTTGTTATTTTTCTCAACTTTTTTTCGATCTATTTTTTTTATTTACAATTTATTTCTCATATTTAAAACCCATATTTTCTTTTATCTTCTTACCAAAAGGAGGATAAAAAACACCCTATATTGGAAGTTCCTTAGCCTTGAGGATCAATCCTTTTTTTTCTTTACTATGTTTTTTTATTTATTTTATGTGAGATTAAGGAACATTTATTTGACAACTATAACACTTGTCATGAATCAATAAATAATTTTGAACTCTCCTATTGTTGGCTCAATCCATCTCTAAATATAATTCACCCATGTTATATAAACAATTTAGTGACCTTGATTTTTTTTTAAAAATAATCAGTTACCTTGGATGTTTAAACAAGAACCGAAGAAGGCCACTTTTTTTATAATTATTGATCGTACGGACTATGATATGATAGTTTCGATATAATGCCATTAAGAAAAGGTAATTGAAGAAGGTGGGATTGGATTAATAAATGAATAATAATAAGAATGTTAGTTAATGAATAGAATACGGTTGGACCACGTACAAACGTAATTAACCTAATAATTATATGTCTATTTATGGTTTAAAAGGCAAAGCACAAGTAAATAGTGTGCTCACGTGACTTCACACTTATGTACAAAACAAAACATCATAAAATTAAAATAATTAACGAAAATCTTAAAATTTCCAAGCAAACGACTGCCTGGATTGGATCGGCAATGGATACTATAGTTTCAACTTTCAAGAAACACGTATTTGATTCACACGTATCCAATATGAAAATGATAAAAATAATTAATTAATGGTTAACCTTTTTTTATCGGCTGATAAACCAGCAGCTTATCCCTGTTTGGTCCCCGCTTTTGACGTCTTCCTTCCTAGATGCTACCAAGTATGCAATTATGTACATTTATTATTTTATGGCAGATCCTTAATTTTCCAGTTTTTAATAAAAATGTGATCAATTGTCCCTTTATCCTCGTTAACCGGTGGTGTAGTTGAGCCAACTACACTGTTTGGTTGGTCAAAAGCCTAAAAGGCAGTCGCAGAAACACGAAAATGGTGTCTCACCCATATTAAACGATATTCCACTTATAGTTCATTTGCAGTGTCTTAACTCTTACACAGCATCAGTGCGTTTAATTATTAATTCAGGATCTATATATGATCCGTAACTCAATTGCAGTTGCATGATTGTATGGTTTCTAGAAATGCTACATCCCATCATTAAACCCCCTCCATAGTTTAGTTTAACGTCAATAATTATTGCTTCATCAAGTCAACGAATTTGAGTTTTTGACGTTTTGATGGGTATATGACACGAAATCGCCCCATATTTCAAATGTGGCTGAGAATTTAGACCACTCAGAGAGATATATATATATTAATTAATCATTGGTATCCGATCTATTGAATGACTAATTCAAATCAAGTACTGCAGAAGCAAGACGACCCCTCCCAACTTGGTGTGTTATATTCGCAAATGTCGGGGTTCAAACCTCTAACTTTACTTAAGAAATCTAGTGTCTCATCCCACTAGATACTGATCGTTGGTCCTAAGTTATATTTTTAATTGCAATTTTAGGTTCAGTCTAAAAGGATTCAAGTCTCAACTTTTGGGTTAATAATATTGCATTACTTTTGGCATTGTTTAATTAAAGTTTACAAGTTATTCCCAAGATGATGATTTGAGGACCACAAGACCAAGCTAACGTGTTTAAGGCTTATATCTAATTTCTTATAAATTACTTGACAATTGCGCTCAGCTTTGCTTTGGAAAATGTAAATGGCAAGGCTCCATAGCTTTCGCTATCCTCCGGCCTAGTGCCGATCAACTATATTTTCCCAAGTATGATTGTAGTTGGCTTCTGACGAACTACGTTATACCAAAAAAAGATCGATAAGATTCATGAAAACATTATTCGCATTTGTTAAAAAAAAGTCAAACCGATGGTGGACTATGATTATTGTAAAACGCAAAAAAAAAAAAAAAATCAGACTTCTTCTCTTTTATTTTGCTTCATTTGTTTGACATATATGTTGACTAATTACAGCTAGAAATTAGCATTTATTGTTTTTGGATAAATACAAAAGTAAGAAGTGCAAAAACAAGAACAAACTTTTGGGTTCCTATTTCAGTTAGGGATAGCAACGGGCCGGATTCGGGTCGGATATTGGTCCCCCGTCCTCATTCATGTTTAAAAAATCTATACCCGTCTCCGCTTAAAAAATCGCAGGGATTTAAACGGGGATCCCCATCGGGTAATCGAGGAAAATTGCGAGGAAACGGGTATCCCCGTTTAGCATAAACGATTATTTAAACGGGTATCGGGTCAGGTATATATATTTAAATTAAATATCTAAATATTATATATATATATATTAATTTAAATTAAATTTATTAATATTATATATATAATAATAATAATTATTTTTAATATTTATCTGGCCGGGTAATCGGAGCGGGGATTACTAAACCAGTCCCCGTCCCCGTTTAGCATAAACGGTTTTTCCCGTCCCCGTCCTCGTTTAGCATAAACGGTTTTTCTCCGTCCCCGTTTAATTCGATTTTCCCCGTCGGGTTCGAATTTTTTTGTCATCCCTAATTCCAGTTATACGTATCAAACATGTTTTAAATTTAAGTCTATACAAAAATTTATTTTTAATCCATTAGTTTAAATACGATCATTATTATAATTTACAATTACATTTGTTAAAAATGGTTAACTATGTATTATAATAAACATGGATCCAACGCTAATGACGGGCAATCATTCCAAAATTTGGTTTACTGCCTTATAATTGATTGGATGATAACTCTTTTTTCAATGGTCTCTAAGCGTGATAAATGTTCATATATTTCGGCAAACACCCAACTCTATTATTGCCATCCCTCCAATTAAATGCTGCCCACGCATTTATTATTTAATAATAATAATAATAAGATAAAGCATTTCCATTTCCTTCAAAATATTAATGACAATATATGACCGTACAAATATATTATTCAAAAGGGGAAATGACGTTATTACCCTTTATTGGTGGGAACAGAATTGGTCCAGCAAAGCAGCTCCCGTGGGGAAAACAGTCTTTTGACTTAGTCGCACAACTCAAAGAAGTCAAACCCAATCTTCGTAAAATTGCAGCCATGCAAATGCCAAAAGCTAACATTACTTACGTCGATGCAACATTTCAATATATTAACACACATGAAATATATAGTTCTCTAAAACTATCTTCGCCGGTAAAATTAAGTTCTTTCTTTTCTTTTTTTGCACATCAAAAGGAGGACACGTCACCACAGTGATAAACAGTGGACAGTTAGCTTCGTGTAATTTTACCCCTTCACTAATTGCTATTTAAACAAGTACGTTCCCCACACTGACCCCAACATCTCTTTGCTGCATTTTCTCTCGATTCTCTCTCGCTTAGGGGTCTAAACGAAAAGGTCCGTATTACTGTAATATTATAACCAAAAGGCAAAGCTTTTAGTTGGGAAACTGCAACAATCACCATGGGAAGATCACCTTGCTGTGATAAAAATGGGCTAAAGAAAGGGCCATGGACACAAGAGGAGGATCAGAAGTTGATTGATTATATTCAAAAACATGGGTATGGGAATTGGAGGACCCTGCCAAAAAATGCCGGTAAGTATTAACTACTGTTTTGGTTTTTTTTTTTTTAAATGTGATGGACTCTATGCTAATTGGTTTCTGTATTTTGAATGGTTAATATACAACAGGTCTTCAAAGATGCGGAAAGAGTTGTCGTCTCCGATGGACAAATTACTTGAGGCCTGATATCAAGAGAGGCAAATTTTCTTTCGAAGAAGAAGAGACAATAATTCAGCTACATGGTGTATTGGGCAATAAGTAAGTTTTATTTTTTCATTTCCCTTTGTTATTTTATTATACTACCTTACTTTGTTTTCTTAACAATGTTTTGTCTTGAATATTTATAGATGGTCTGCCATTGCTGCTCGGTTGCCCGGAAGAACAGACAATGAAATAAAAAACTATTGGAACACTCACATTAGAAAGAGGCTTCTACGCATGGGGATCGATCCTTTTACTCATAGTCCTCGACTGGATCTCCTTGACCTCTCCTCGATTCTTAGCTCGTCTCTTTACCACCAGTCCCAAATGAACATTTCAAGGCTACTCGGAGTCAATTCCTTGCTTAACCCTGAGCTTCTAAAGCTTGCCACTTCTTTCGTGTCACCGCAAAACCAGAACCAGAAGTTCCTTCTTAACAATGTTGATCACAGCCAGCTCTGCAGTTCCCAACTCCAAAACCAATACCAACCATTAGTGCAATCGAAACAAGATCTACCAACGCAAGTCCAAGAACTTCCAGTTTGCACCTCGTTGAATACTAGTCCTAGCAGTATTAATCCATTTTCAAATGAAGCACAACTCGTGAATATGGTCCAATTCCCATCAAATTTCTCAGACTTAAATGACTGGCAAGGCAATGCGTTGCCTTCAAATTTGACGGAAGATTACGTGCCGGAACCGCTCAACTATGACTATTACGGCTCTAATAGACATCATCAAACCATCATGGATCATTCATTATCAGAGACCTCGAATTTCCAATCAAACAACACCAACCCCAGTTTCGGCTTCGCGTCGGTATTATCGACGCCTTCATCAAGTCCAACTCCACTGAACTCGAATTCTACATACAACAACGGTTGCGGCACTGAAGACGAAAGAGACAGCTACTGCAGCAACCTTTTGAACTTTGAAATCCCAGATTTTTTGGATGTTAATGATTTCATGTAGGTTCAAAATTAATCAAAACTCAAAAAATGGAGTTTCCATCTAAGTCCTTTTCTGGGTTTTTTCCTCCTGATTTAGTAGAGTTGTAAATACTTGTAAAATTTTATTGTAATAATTAATTTTGTTACATTTTTATTAAGCTTACTGTATGAGGGAGCAAGATCCTATGCTACCTCTTTCAAGATTTTCTTATTTACATCCTTTAATATAATGGGAAGTTTCCATTATTGATACTTCACGTTCCACTACATTTTTTTATTTCTTTCTATTCCACACAATATCTTATTTTTGTAGCATATATCTTTATATATATCATTAAATTTTAATATATTAATAGTATATATATATGTTTATATAAATTAATATGTAATTAAAGAAGTTATAAGATTCAAAATTTTAAATAAAATAATTAATCTCACTTAATCACAAAAAATAATAAAACTATTGATACATAAACACATACACTAATAAATAAATTATGTAATAACATGTGTTAAGTTGCTCATCTTTATTTCCTCAAATTTTTTTAGGTTATGAGTTCTAGACCCATTATGATTACTTCCTTTAGAATCACTCTTCCCTTCTCATCTAAGTAGGATTAAGATTATATTTAGAATTAATTTTTTTAAGATTTAAACTATCAAAATTTAATATATTAGTATTAAATCTAAGTTATACGTATAAACAAATCATTGGTGTGAAAAATATATATTTGTTCAAATCAACCATGGACAAATGTCTACCTCTCGAAATATATTTTAAATAAAGGACAGCTTAATTATTAATCAAATCATAGGGTTTGTTCATAGTGTTAAGGCACAGAATAAATTAAAACATCTAACATTTTGACATTCCCTAATATAGGCAATCTTTGCCTATAACTGGATTGCCTATAACTGGAAAGCTTTTCAAGCAGCATAAAAATATATTAACCCAAAGATATGGTATTAATCATTAATACGATCAAAAGCAAAAGGATAACAATCATAAGCGGAAAAGATATTGGGTTCAAATATCCGGACAAGAGGTCAAATTCCAGCAGGATTTACGGCAACGGACTCGTCGCAAATCGGAGACGTGTCCATGCCACCTGTAAGGGCAACTGTCTTTTTCGAGGAGTGATTATTGACATAAAGTAAAATATGCATGGGGATTAAGATAATGCCCGAGGTTTGACCTGAAAATAGTAAACAAAAAGGGAAAGGGGCAGTTGTCTATCTTCTAGCGGCTACCTTAACCGCGGGTGGAGGATGGGACCACCATTGAGATTGCTTTCATTGAAAAACATGGCGTGGCTCTTGTGCTGTTTTGGTGTTTTGTCCCTTTATCATCTCTCTTCACGCCCATGATACCATGCTTCAGTTGTCAAACCTTGAGCTTAATCACGACAGCATTTGGGTGGACACGTGGACTCAATCATTCATCAACTTTTAGCTTAGAAATCACAGATGAAAAAAAAATATAGTAACATTTAAATTATTTAAATCTCTTAACCAGAGTAACAGAGCTTCGTATCCAGAGTTTTGGAGAGATCCCGTGTCATTGACAGGTAACACTGGAACTCGCTGATTATCTCTTATCAATAATCATGTAATAATTACTACTACTTTTGGTTGTTCCCTGTGGGGTCTAGGGTTTTATGCAATAACTTAACCAATAACATTTCTGGGTAATTAATGATTAAAACTTATTAGTCTCGTTTGATTATAAGTTGCGGGTCAGAAATAACAAGTGTTAGTAGCTCGTAATATTTGTTAGTAAATGTAGTGAAAAAGATATGTTTTCTTCTAATGGCATGTCGTCCAAGGAACATGATCGTGTTTTGTCAGGATCGCTGTACGTACGCGGCGCACATCGTCAAGGGTTCTCCCTTTATACGTCTCCCGGCTAATTAAGAACGAAATTGAAGTCTTGAATTTGAAAAGGGAAAAAGTGTATTTTTAATCTCTCTCTCTTAAAACTCGTGCATGGCCACGCTTCTTTTATAAGCAGGCCAATTCCCTATCTTCTTCTACTGGTACGTACAGAAACTTAATTCCTTTTTGCCCTAACGTTTCCACTCCCCTTGTAAATGTAAGCTGTACGTCATTTATACGCAAAACATTTTTTTATTGTTTTTATGGGTCAATATTGAAATAGTGTTGTATTTATCTATGGGACTGAGCCGACCAGCGCCGGAGAAAAGGACACCCTTCATTCTCGCATTTCCATTTTCTCGACCGCCCAATGAAATTTTCTTCTTTCAAACATTTCGAACCACTGACTGACTACTCCCTCTAAAACAGGAAGGATGCAAAACTTTATTTAGGAGGTGAATTTCTAAATTTTTAGAACGGAATAAATTATAAAATTTCAGGAAAATAAAAATAAATTTTTAATTAAAAAATATATAAAATAAATCTAAAATATATGATAATTTTAAATTTTTATGGATAACTGCATCCGTCCCCGTTTGCTCCATCCTGATCTAAAGAGGGTTTCTGTCCTAATTCGCCGTTGTGTTTTTTATTACTTGCTCGTCATGTTTTTCTCTTTGTTGCTTTTTAGATGACAGCCAGCTTAAGAAAATGTGCAAAATGGGTTAGAAAGCAAATGTGAGATGGTTGAAATTATTATCTATTTGTGGACTTTTTTTAATATAAAAAAAGATGGGACTTTTGACTAACGTTTCACTTTATTAGGATGTTATTTTAGAATATAAAACCGATAAAGATAATGATATTTTAAAAAGAAATGGTTTTGCCTGCTTCAATTAGAGAAGCATACATGTATACGTTGTTTGTTTGAATGTTGATTTTTTAAATAAAAATAAATGAAGTGGCTTCCTATGTGTGAATAGCCTTGGCCTCTATGGCTATTAATTGTTGACAAGTCGCTTCCCATGCTGTTGAATGGTCATTTGTGCACTGATAAATGAAAACTGTCTGATTGTGTGCAACTTTGAATAAATGGTGGACTAATATTTATGGTTGTTCAGTGTATTGGATGAAGATGGACATTAAGTTTCGCAAGTTTTGGCATATAAATGGAACCATAGGAATCGTAATTGGTTAGCTTAAACGTCAAATTCTATAACCTTTTTTTTATGGGGACAAATGGAAAGTGTCTAAGAGTTGAACCAAGTTAAACTTTCGGCGGGATGATTAGGACATATGCTAATTAATTTAACTCAAATCACTAATATCGAGTCAAACATGGATGGATCAAAAGGAGATAGACGAAGACAATTGTTTTTTTTAAATTAATATATATTTTATTTTTTTATATTTTCAGTTGATAATTTTTATACCTTTAAAATTTTATATTTTCATTCTTTACTAAAGTTTTAATAAATTATACGTATGTTTTTAAAATTGAAGGACAACATTATTTCATATTTGTGACGCCAAGAAGACGTTTGTAGTGGCTTCTAATGTCAGCCGAGGTACACTCGGCGATTGGGGCTTCTTAAATCTTAATCATTATTCATTAATTGTGTATCGGTAGACGGGTCTAGCTGCTGCATGGAATATTACGATTATGGAGAATGATTTGATATTTCACCACGTCATGAAATGATTATTATTGATTAGTATTTCACCAGCTAAGCTAGCTAGTTAGGTTTCTATTACTTAGGAAGACAGTTGTTCAATATCTATTGGAAAATGCTTCCCATTTGTATATAAAACCGTCAACAATACTATCACTAAAAATAAAATAAAAAATTTGCATTTTGGTAACTAGGTTTTACAGCGATATTCGATGCAGTAACAAATATTGTAGTGATAATAGATGTTATTACGTTTAATTGAAATATTTGTAATAATTTTTAGGCATGGTTGTTGAATTTAAATTTTATATATAACGATACATTAAATTATTGATGATATCATTCATTAAACTGATATTAAATATTATAACATTAACATTATATACCATCAAACTTTAAGCGTTTATATAATAAAATTTGTACTTTTATCAATTTTTGCATTAACGTTTACTCTTAAGTACAACTATGACAGTCGTACGCCGTGACGTGATTACCTCACCGAAACGTCGTTTTTGCACAACTATTTTAATGCTCATAAAGCCCAAAACAACGTTTTTTATTAATGGAAAGATATTTTTCATGGTATTTGAACCACATATCTATTGGACCTGATGAAAAGGTGCTAACCACCAAGTTAACTTAAGAACTTATTATAATTCTAACAAAACTAATATATACGTTAAACAAACAGTTTGAATTAAATAATTTATTTATATTATTTTGATATTTATATTATTTTATAATATATATGATTTATAATAAAAATAATAAAATTTCATAAAAACTTTAAAGTTTTTGATATTCTTAAATTTCCCCAAAACCCAAAGCCCTAAGAATCAAATCCCTAATTTCACCCATTGTCATTGTCAAATCAACGGTCACCGCTCACCACTTCCATCGTCGGACTCTTACCACCAATTACCCCACTTCGCTGTTGCTGGAAATCGATGAACTATGTGTTGATCGATCGTCAAATGTTGAATGTGAAATAATTTAACAGAACCATGAATGATGATCGATCGACGAGCAAATGATGAATTATGTGCACATCGAGAAAATGAGGCTTTAGTGCGACAACAACGGCGTGCTATCAACGATGATGGTGGGTGAATTTAGGGATTGTGATTTAAATTTAAGTTTTTTTTGGGATTTTCATGAATTTAGGATTTTTTTTGGAATTTTCTATAATTTAGGACTTTTTTTGGAATTTTAATAAATTTACGATGTTTTTTAGAAAATAATATATGAAATACGTGACTCATGTTATGTATAAAATTATATCAAAAACTTAAGTTGGCATAGTGGTTAAGCTTTAGCCTTTGTTTCAAGAGGTATCGATTTTAAATCCCCTTAAATATAATATTTTACAAAATTTTCTCAAACAAAACTACTTAGATTTGGGTTTTTTTAGCATCAAACACAATAATGCCAAGACGATGTCATTTTGGTGAGGCAACCACATCAGCAACGTCACGACTGTCATATCATCTTCCCGTTAGATCATTAACG